GATGCCTTAGGCCCCTTGCTTCATGAAGATAGCAAAAAGAACGGAACATAGGCGATGGTTTTGATAATAATTATGATAACCAGTTCGACTATGAAAATTTTGAATTCCCGCTGTAAAACTTCCACAACTGTTAGCGGCGTGGAGTCAACACGTGCAAACGTGTCAAAAGCGTGAACGTGAACAGGATTCATGTTGGGCCCTTCCCATAAACTGACACGTGGATCCGCACCTGCCACGCACTTCGTCACAGAAGCACTTCCGGTCCCGCCTACTGGTCCAATCCGGTCCCACAGATGGGTCTTTCCAAGGGCTGTTTCTCTTGGGGGTTTCATCATTTTCGCTCTGAACTTTGCATATGGTCTTCAATGACCATGCCCAACACCTGTACACAAGGAAAGGATAAGCAGTCTTTCCGTGGAAGATTCCTTTAAGCTACGTGAGCTGAAGACTGCAGGATTAAGATATTCGGCTAAGGCACCAGACACTTTTTGATCACGAGATTAACACATTCACGACGACGCCCCTTTTCCACTTTTCGGTCGCGTGGGACGGACGCGATTTTGTGGGCGCCGCCGCCTCACCACATAACCGCAGATTTTGTTTTGTAAATGAACAAAAACATGAATGTCACAAAATAATTTCTGCAATGTCCAATGCGTAAAGATTATCTAAACATATAACAGTAGGATTTCGATCAGAACGACAATAGTGGTTACGAAAAGAGAGCATTTATTCACTTTCCCCGTGAAGGAATTTAAAAGCATTTTACACTCGATTACGAGGTTTGCCCACCTATCTGTCCATTCCTAGCGCCTGGCAAGCGATTATCAGTTGGCAGCCCATATGGGCTGCCATCGTCCCAGGAGCGCATGTTGTTGGCAGCCCATATGGGCGGCCATCGGCGTGAATGTGTTAAGATTAGATTCCACGTACAGGTCGATCACTTCCTGGGCAATCATTCTAGCGGAATTTCCCAATCTCATACTTTCCTGCTGTTTTAACACCTTGACGACAGCGCGGCAACTAGGTTTGCCGCGTTTTGCACGCCGCAATGGACATTGTGGCAACTATAGTTGCCACACCCTTTACATTCAGTTTTTTCTTGAACGCGCCATTTCTTCCCAGGTTTTTTGTGTTCATTTTTAGGCCATACCACAACATAACCAAGAACCACGCGGCTTATAGAATGACCAAATATATTCTTTAGTTTGGCAGAGGTTTTTCGGACCGGACGAAAATATCCGTTCAGTTCATTCCTCATTTTCTCTTCATTAACACGAACATGTAGATAAAAAAGAATATTAGAAGTGAGTACAAACCTATTCGTGTGGCAAGATATGTGTTTTTACCGAAACAACCACGTCCAAAATAATTTTGAAATCACTAAAGCAAAAGTAAGTGAAACTTGCCTTTTCAATGCTGTAACACATCATTTCGACCGCACTTTCACAACTGTACTAAGTTTACGTTGAAATGTTTTGTCGCATCGAGGTATGCTCAATCACGGTATTTCTTGTGATGGGGCGCAGCTCGAGATCGCCTCTGGTTCCCAGCGTCGGCCCATAGTCCGAAACGCGTGATGTCGTCAAGTATAATCTCCCTTATCCCAACATCCCAATCCCCAATCAACTACTCTCAGCGATATGAGCGATACGTTCTAATTTTTTTAAAAATGTCCTAATCTAAAACTATTCCGGTCTAGTACTCCCCTAATCTCCCCATCAATACATACGCCGATGTCCTGATCCTCGCTCCTAATTTATGAAGTCTTGAAGTATGAACGCGGTCTCGTACTAATTTGTTTTGTGATACATGGGAAAGTGCTCTCATTTCCTAAATGATGAGCATTAATGCTTTCCAAGATTACTGTTTAGGCTGACGATGACACATATGTAATTATGGAGCATATGTACGAGTATCTTGCTACACTCGACCCTGAAGAGCCTTACTACCTTGGATACAACATGAGACCTTATTTGGTGAGCATTGATGTATTGATAAGCTTTGCTTTAAAGTTTAAGATCCACTCGTTTGTATTAATATCTCAGTTCGTAGCTCTCAACCGCTCTACTTGAAAAGCAGTTACTACTACTTTCAAGTAGAGACCGTTGAAACTGAACAGTTTAAATCTACAGTATACTGCTACCAGGTAGCGGTATACTGTAGAATTTAAACTGTTCAGTGAGAGTCTACAAATAGACCTTGGGGCCTCGATCTTTTATTCCTCGACTATGATTCTTCATATAGTGGCCAACTCAGCGCACCAACGTCCAGACGTATTAGGGATTGTCTAGTACTCACTGAGATGTCAATTGTGAACTCTTCCTACCTCTGGAAACGGAACTCGCTCTCTCGGGTTTGCTATCTCGGCCACGTGTAGTACTAACTGCATCTAACTATGGAATGGCTGAAAGACTGCGAGGAGCGACCTCCTGAGTGAGTCGGACTCTAGCAAGGGGCGCAGGATCATTGGAGTGAGCGAACTGTGGTGTGTTATACTATCTAGTAATATCATGATTACTGATTCTTTATTCGTTGAATCGGGGAGGGGAGGGGCAGGGAATTGGTATATTACGGTACCTCTCACCTTTTCTTACGGTAAGATCAAATCTTTAATCCATCTCTCAGTACACCTTTTATTCGCCTCGGTTCTGGGCTGGTACTAGATTTATATGCGAAGGGAACATGGAAATTGTGCATCGATTGCCCTCAAAATCGAAGGTCGCATTACGCAAAGATGTGTTTGTGACGCATCCCAAAGAAGGGTCTGGTTGAAGTTAAAAGCTCAATCTCTCTTCGAATCTTGATTTTTTTGCTGCTCATATTGGTAAATTTAGGCCCGTGGCTACAATGGTGGCGGCGCTGGTTATGTGCTAAGCCGTGCGGCGGTGAAGCTGTTCATCGAACGAGCCTTCCATGATCGTACCGTTTGTCCATTCGACCTTTCTGAAGACGTTGGTATGGGAAGGTAAGTGGAGAGATTGACTTTGTAGTAGAGCATACTATCAATGCTGTAGAAGCTTACAGATGCCTTCAAAATATCGAAATTTATCCACACGACACGAGAAATGAAGCAGGTCAGCACCGATTCCACACCTATAGGCCTGACGACATGTTCCATGGTACCGTGCTTGATGAGTGGCACTACTATCCTCAAATCAAGGTATCAAAAAGGAATCCAAATCTTATGAGTGGTGGAAGCACGGAGGAGGGTGAAGAATGGAAGGTTCCGGTTGTGACAGAGAATGACCCAGTACTTATCCTGTTCAGGGACATGATTGGATTTCTCCGGAACTCATATCTGTGCATCATCTGAATCCCAACGAAATTCGCATCTACGACGATTTGCTCTATCGGATGCGCTCACCTCAGCTATCCCGCGTTCGAATGCCGGGCCAGCCAGAGGCAAGCGCTGATGACGATGAAGATAACGAGATTTCAGAGAATGTTCAAGATTCTAAACGACCACCGAAAAGTAACATGACTGTCTATGATCGTAATATCGCTTAATAATTTGAACTAAAGTTATTGGCCTAAAAGGTCCACAGATAATATAGGTATACTTTACATTGAAAACTTTATAAGTCAATATATTTGCCTTGCGTCTTCTCAACTGTGATATTTATTGCTTCTTTCTTAGGAAAAAGAATACAAAATTATTTTAAACGCTCCACGGGTTCACTGTATCTTTTTGTAACTTCGATGTTTTGATGTTGAATGAGATTTTTTGTGAATGAAGCAGTTTGATGCAAATTAATGGATGTAAAGGGGATGATTGCTACTCCTCCTGATGACAGGTCTCTCTATCCATGTGAGAATAGTGAACAGTGTGATCCATGGGTTCTTTGAGTTTGTTTGCTTCGTATCAGTGAAATATTAACCCTTTGACGACAAATACCGCACAATTAAAACAACAGCCCCACCAGAAGCCTTTATTTATCCATTCGATTTAATGAGGTGGAAAGATACACGAGCATTAGTCAAGTACCTAAGAAGTGCCACTGAGCTAAATACTCGCATTGGAAAGTCGCTGGAAGGTATTCCAACGGTCTCGCAGTAGGACGGGCGACCGGCCTCGCACCTGTGGATAGCGCGTGATTGGCTGCGGGTCCTTGCGCGATTGCGTGTGGCTGTACCACATTTCGAAATTAATGCTGCATCTTTTTGATTGGTTTCACTTGCTTAACTCATTTAATTACTGCATTTCTTTGTTTTACTGATGCATATGTCTCTTCTTGTATTGATGCAGCCGCATTTCTTGCTGGTAGGAGCGGTGAAACTCGAGTTCGGGGGGACGCGATGGCGCGGCGCTCTGTTCGTCTGCTCCTCCAGGGCTTAGTCCACAGGGACAGTTACTCTTTCGCCATTATGTGGCAGTTTCAAAATACGCGCCATGGTGACTAGCCTTGGTAGAGCAGACGAAACAGCGCCGCACCGTCCCCCGCCCCCGAGCCCAAGTTTCACCAGAAATGCATGCTAGTCCGGACAACTCGTGCGACACACCCCCTCCTTCATTTCAGGGGGAAAGGGATAAAGGATAAAGGATAAAGCATTTGCCGTTGATCAATCCCTTTTTGGGATGCGGCACGCATTCTACTTCCATTTGTACATTCGTAGTGGCGTTTGAATGCGATGGAAAGGGAAGCCCTGTTAAAAGGCTTCGCCCGCGTTTTCTTCGCTTTTTTCAATTATCAACTCGCCACTTAAAATTCATTATCGACCTTCTTACCCCGCGAAATCGATCTGGAATGTTGCTTTAAGTGCATTTTTGAGCGCAATAACTAACCCTCACCGTTTGGGTCACGAGATCTGCCTTTAGCACATTAGTGGTCCTATACTACACTGACCCCGTCGCACCTTTCGGGCGGGATGTTTTGAGTGATTTTTGCTTACCCATTTGCGATTTACATTTCCGTACCCAGAAATCAGTATTCATATAGAATAATTGTCGAGATTGTTACCGATAAATTTCGATTATTCATGTTGTGAAATGTCAACCTATGTGGGATGCAACAACTGTAACATGGGGTAGACCGATGCCAAATTTCATGGTAGTTAT